TGGTTGTCTTTTCTTTTTTTTTTTTTTTTTTTTTTTTTTTTTGAGAGGTTTTTGCTATAGGGCGCGTGCGCTCGCCAACCAGCCAGACAGAGACAGAGAGACAGAAAGCGAGAAATCACCCCCCAGCGAGGATGGCCACGCCGCAATCCCTTCTCCTCCATTCTCCTCTTGGGATCTTGGGCACGCATGCACACGCGCCCGACGTGAGTTTTAAGCCACTGGGTCCAGGACTGGAACCGCAGTTGACTACATGGGAATCCAGCGACATAGCCATTACGCTAACTGCTGGTCCCCCCCCCCGATTGATTGACTTTTATAAATAATTTTCTTTATTCACAATAGAGATGTGCACATACATATAAGAGTATGTAGTTATGGGGGCAGCAGATGGCATGTTGGTTAAGGTGCTTGACTCCCACACGACCAACTGCAGTTCGAGTCCTGGACCTGGAGGCTTGACAATCACGCAAGGTGCATGTGGGTATATGCCCCAAATCCCAGAAAGAGAACAGAGGAGAAGGGAATTGGGGAGTGATTTCTCACTTCCTTCTGTCTATCTCTCCAGGGAGCACCTGTGCCCTATGGCTAAAACCTAAAAACAGACAGAGAGAGAGAGAGAGGTGAGCACCTTCTGTAAGGCCTGGCCGTGCTTCAGCCCCTTCTGCCAGTCCTCTACTAGCCCGTTGGGTCCTGGGCACTGATGCACATGCACAGTGCATCTCAGGTTAACCAGGCTAGGGATTCACATTTTGAACACCATGCGAGATGGGATCGGGCTTCTCTGCCGCACCACACAGCCCGCCCCAGCCCCTGACGGTTTAGATGCAGCCCGAGCCTGTCTCTACTGGGAAAGAAAGAGAAGGGAATGGAAATGAATAAAAGCACTTGTACATGCAGGGCCTTCAAAAAGATGATGGAAAATGTGTATTATGAAAAATACTATGTGTGAATTTCAAAATGTTTTTGCACCAAAATAAACTTGTCCTTTTATTCTGTTTGTCTATGAACTATTTTTTGCTTCTTTGGTTTTCATTTTTGCTATAGCACGTGTGTGCTCACCAGAGAGAGACAGGGAGAGAGAGACAGTGAGAGGGAAAGGGAGAAATCACCACACAGGAAGGATGGCCCTGCCACAAATCCCTCTCCATTCTCTTTTCCTCTTGGGATTTTGGGCATGCGTGTACACATGCCTGGTGTGATTTTCTTTTAAACAGGAGAGATTTTTTGTTTAAATTTGAGAATTATTTATTTAAGTTGATTTCTTATCATTATTATTATTGCGTTCACCATAGAGAGACAGAGAGGGGACGTGAGAAAGAAAGTTGCCAGGTTCATGACTTGAACCATGGTTAGCTATGTGGGAATCCAGCATCTCACCCCCCTCGCCACCTGCTGTCCCCTGTCCAAGAACTTTCTGAGGTCGTCTCGTACTCATAGCTCAGAAACGCCGAGTTCATAGATTCACCATGTATCTAAAGAGAAATGCAAACCTGTTGGTCCATGGCAAAAGGCCAGGTTCACCAAGGCAGGAGCCAGGGTGCTTTCGTGCTTTCATCCCTGAGCCATGGCACTCTGTCCCTGCTCACTTCTCACAGGGCGTAATGAGCTACATTGGGTCGCAGAGGACCGCCGTGGTGCGAGGGATAACACACCGGGAGGCTTTTAACATCGTCGGCCGCCGCATAATCCAAGTTGCGCAGGCCATGTCTCTGACTGAGGACGTGCTTGCTGCTGCTCTGGCGGACCACCTTCCAGAGGACAAGTGGAGCTCTGATAAGAGGCGGCCCCTCAAGTCCAGCTTGGGTAAGGTTGTGGGCTTTGCCATGGACGGGAGAGGGAATTCATTTTGTGAGTCGGGAGGAGCCTCTGCATGCAAACTCCTTATTCCTTTCTTTTCTGCTCTTAGTTTGTTCCGAAAGCACTCACGGTTCCTTACCCCAGTCTTACCCTCCCTGTGGTTCCGTGACGGCAACAGGCCCATCACGAAGGAGTGAGGAGTTCAGCTCAGCCCAGGGAACAGGCCACCTCTCTTGATCCCCAGTCTCTGACTTCCCTGACTCCTGTTTCTGTAGGCTATGAGATCACCTTCAGTTTACTCAACCCAGACCCCAAGTCCCACGACGTCCACTGGGACATCGAGGGGGCTGTCCGGCGCTACGTGCAGCCCTTCCTGAGTGCCCTCAGTGTCGCCGGCAACTTCTCTGTGGACTCTCAGGTGAGACTGGGAGTGAGCTGAGTCCTTTTATAAGTACAGGCGCACTTAGCCAGTCCTCCTTTCTCTCTTTCTTTTTTAAGAATGATTTATTTATATAACTTTATTTGTTATTGTTATTTTTTCAGTTTGACCAGAAAGAGACAAAGGGAAAGTAAAAAGGCAAGCTGCCAGGTCCGGGACTCAAACCACTGTCGGCCACATGAGAGTGCAGCGCCTTAACTACCACGTCACCTGCTAGCTCCCAAACTTAGTGTTTCTAAGTGCTATCTGTTCTTCCGTGTCTCAGCACATGCTGACTTCCTAGGAATCCCTTGTGTAGGTGTTTGTGTGCAGGTGCCATAGGGACAGGAACCGGGGTGTGTCTGTCTGTCTGTTCCTTCCGTGAAGGTTTTAGCATCTTTACTTTCCCTCCTTGAGGTCCAGCTCAGGGACTTCTGTCAAGGCCTGTTAGCAAACCCTCTTACGTCTGGCTTCCTCTAGAACTAGGTTCACCAGTTATACCTTGATATTAATACTGTCAACTATCCTTAAGGAATTTATTTTTGAAAAGCTTCCTGACACATGCTAATGTGGTAATAATAAAGTTGTGAAAAACTTAACTTTCTAGATCACAATATGTTCTTTTTATTTTTTAAAATAATGATTAAATCTTTTTATTCATTCATTTATTTTCATTTGAGCAGAGGGAGAGTGAGAAAGTGAGAAAGCAAGCCACCACATCTGGGACTCAAACTGTGGTTGGCCCTTCTTCTCCATTTTCCTCTTGGGATTTTGGGCACACAAACACAAACCTGGTGGGTTTTTTTTTTTTGTTTGTTTTTTGTTTTTTAATGAATTATTTTTAATGAATTCAAGAAAAACAGTTTTAGTTTTAATAGATCAAAGTCAAAAAATATTAAGAGACATTTGCTTAAGACTTACAGTCAGGAAAAAGGTTAGGATTCAGTTCAAACAGTAGGTAGATGAATTTATCAACAGTTCAAGAGAGGACAAAACTCCTTAAATCTGGAAAACAAACTTAGAAGAAAATCAGCAAGGTGTTTTTTTTTTTTTTTCTTTTTTTGGAGAGATTTTGGCTATAGGGCACGTGTGCTCGCCAGAAAGACAGAGACAGAGAGATAGAAAACGAGAAATCACCCCCCAGGGGGGATGGCCATGCTGCAATCCCTCTACCTCCATTCTCCTCTTGGGATCTTGGGCACGCACGCACATGCGCCGGCATGAGTTTAAGCCACCGGGTCCGGGACTCGAACCACAGTCGACTTCACAGGATTCTAGCGACATACCCATTACGTCAACTACTGGTCCCGAAAAATCAGCAATGTTTTAATCAAAAGTCATAAAATTCTATTTCCCCAGTTAAATTTCATATAATTAATTTCCCTTCTATTGAATTTGCAGTGTTACTGTGGTTTGATCTTTCCATTTAAATTCTGGAAGTTAACATTTAATGTGATTATCGATCTTTCCAGACTTGCCCCTACATTTTTTTTTTTTTTTTAAGAGAAGTTTTTGCTATGGGGCACTTGCGCTTGCCAGAAAGACAGAGAGAGACAGAGAGATAGAAAGCGAGAAATCACCCCCCAGGGGGGATGGCCACGCCGCAATCCCTTCTCCTCCATTCTCCTCCTGGGATCTTGGGCATGCACACATACACACCCAGCATGAGTTTAAGCCGCCGGGTGCGGGACACGAACCATGGTCGACTACGTGGGAGTCCAGCGACATAGCCATTATGCTAACTGCTGGTCCCGTCAGACTTGTCCCTACTTTAAATTGGCCATTCTCTTGGTTGCTTTTTGTATTCATTTTTTTTTAACTTTCTTTTTAAGAATTATTTTATTAACTTTACTTATCCACTTATTTCTTTATTTCAATTTGACCAGAGAGGGACAGAGCAAGAGAGGGAGAGAGAGAGAGAGAAAATGAGAAAGCAAGCCACTAGGTTCAAGACCTGAATCACAGTCTGCCATATGGGAGTCCAGCACCCTTAACCACCATGCCACCTGCCAGCCCCTATACTCTTATTTTTGTGTGTCTGACTTTAGTGTTCCTCTCTTCAGCACTTCTTGGAGAGCTTATCTGGTGTTAGTAAATTCTTTTAGGTTTTGTTTACCTGAGAATGTTTTTGTCTTTCTTCCCATATGAAGGATAATCTTGCTGGGTATAATATTCTTGATTGAAATGACTTTTTACTTAACATTTTGAATATATTTTCCCATTCTTTCCTTGCTCGCATTGTTTCCGATGAGAGGTCTAATGTTAGCCTGATGGGATATCCTTTGAAAGTAATTTGATGTTTCTCTCTTGCCAATTTTAGTATCTTAAAAGCAAAGACAGTTCTTATGTAATGGTTTCATGTTGTCCTCTGTGGCATATTAGGTAGCAGACAGGACTGCAGAGCTGGAAACACATGTTGGCCATCGTTCAAATCCCTAGTCCTGGTGGCCTTCTCCAGGACCCTGGAAGCCAGCCACAGTGGCATGATGGGGTCCCCCCAAGCCTGTCCTTGGAGCCCCCACCTGGAACCCACCTGGTGTGTTTTAAGCCACCAGGTCTGGGACTAGAACCGTGGTCGGCCATGTAGGAGTCCAGTGATGTAACCATTACGCCATCTGCTGGTCTCACTAGTGGCTTTCCTTTTTCCCCCCCTACACCTATTTCTCCTCAGCCCTGATTTTCTCTCTTATATTTTGCCTTGTCCTGATTGTATCTTTTGAAGGGATTGTAAATCTTTTTTTGGAGAAAGTAGAATATAAATCACTAATAAAATAATCTCCTTCTTTGCTCTGCAGATCTTATACTATGCGATGTTGGGGGTGAACCCTCGCTTTGACCCAGCTTCCTCCAGCTATTACTTGGCCATGCACAGCCTCCCCCATGTCATCAACCCAGTGGAGTCCCGATTGGGTAAGCTCCCCAGAGTCTACCTAGCCAGGAAGAGACCCTGAAGACTCAGCCTGGAGTTGGAAGCAGGTTATACATAGTGATGGTTCCCAGGTTGAGTCGGACTGAGGGAACTAGGAATATTTAGGATTCTTTGTCATGATACTCTGTTGACATTTCCATCTTCACACCAACAATACCCAAAAGTATTTATTAAACGTGATTCCTGGGGCCAGCAGGTGGCTTGGTGGTTAAGATTCTGAACTCCCACATGGCTGACTGCAATTCGAGTCCCAGACCTGGCGGCTTGCTTTCTCTCTTTCTCCTCCTCTCTGTCTGGTGAATGTACATGCCCTATAGGAAATTAAAATAATTAAATCTAAATAAATATAATTCTTGGGACCAGCAGTTGGCATAATGGCTATGTCACTGGACTCCCATGTAGTCGGCCGCGGTTCGAGTCCTGGACCCGGCGCCTTAACGTCACCCCACGCACGTGTGGATGCGTGCCCAAGATCCTGAGAGGAGAATGGAGGAGACGGGATTGCGGTGTGGCCATCTCCCCTGGGGGTGATTTTTCACTTTCTGTCTCTGTCTCTGTCTTTCTGGTGAGCGTACATGCCCTATACCAAAAACCTCTCCCCCCCCAAAAATTTTTTTATTAAAGAATTTTATTGAGACCAGCAGTTAGCGTAATGGCTGTGTCGCTGAACTCCCATGTAGTCAACTGCGGTTCAAGTCTTGGACCCGGTGGCTTAAAACTCACACCAGGCGCATATGTGTGCGTGCCCAAGATCCTGAGAGGAGGATGGAGGAGAAGGGATTGCGGCATGGCTATCCCCCCCGGGGGGTGATTTCTCGCTTTCTGTCTCTCTGACTCTCTGGCGAATGCATGTGCCCTTAGCAAAAACCTCTCAAAAAAAAAAATTATTTATTTTGGGGAGAAGTTTTTGCTATAGGGCACGTGCGCTCACCAGAAACACAGAGACAGACAGAGAGACAGAATCCAGCGACATAGCCATTACGTCAACTGCTGGTCCCTTTAATAAAAAAAATTTTTAAATGTGATTCCTATCACCTTTTAAAAATGTATTTCTCAGAGGGAGTGTGAGCTTGTCAGAGAGAGACAGAGAAAGGAAGAGGGAAAAAGTTCCCCTCGGTGAGGTATAGACACACTAAATTCCCCTCTCTTCCATTTCTCCATGGATTAGGGGCATGCAAACACACTTACCTGGCATGCTTCCCATTCTTTGAGGTTGATATTCAGCTCACATGGTCTGTCACATGGGATCCAGCTCCCTTAACCGCTAGGCCACAGGGCTGGTGCAGTTCCCGGCACTTTTTTACAGACAACTGGCTAAGCTGGGTCTCCCTCCCTGAAAGCCATCTAGGAAAGAAATGGTCATGCAGGAATAATGACAGCAAAAGGACACAGGGCCAGCCCCATAGCCTATTGGTTATAGGAGTTAGGTTCTACGTGGCTGACTGCAGTTTGGATCCTGGGCCTGGTAGCCTGAGGGACATGCTTAGCACATGTGCCTGTGTGCCCAGGATCCCAACTGGATGGAAAAATGGGGGAGAAGGGATTGCAGCACGACCACGCCCTATTGGAGGTGTTTTCTCCTCTCTGACACATGCCCTCTGTCGATCGAAAAACACATAAAGGCAGAATTTAGATTGACAGTTCTGCTTGAGGTTGAGGAACCTTGAAACCAAGATTATAGTTTTTCACTTTGGGGCGGAGCCTCAGAAAAGTAGGTATGACCACAGAACTGTCATACAGGCAAACCAAAGTGCAAATATGACTAACTGGAGTTTCAGACACCAGAGGTAGCCCAGTGTATAAAGGTTATGCGAAGGGTGGCAGGCAAGGCTTCAGCAAATTCCTCCACTCTGCCGCGTTCGTTCACTCAGGCAGCAAGCACTGGCCGAGGGGCTGAGCACAGAATGGAAGGGCGGTTCAGGCCAAGGGAACGCTGAGCTTCGATGTGGGAGAGTCAGAGAACACAGATATTCAGGAAGTTCTGATAGGTTCATGGGGCTAAAATTTGAGTGAATGACCAAAGATGAGGTGCCAGATCATAAAGGATCATGCTAAGGGGGTCAAGCTTTAATCTGACATGACTGACTAGCCTTTGAAGGCTGGTTAGCAGGAAACAGACATGAGGTCAGATTTACTTTTTCACATAAAACTAGCTATAGGAATATAAGGGGTCTTCAAAATATGTATTATGAAAAAACCACACATGGATTTCAAAACCTTTTGTATTCAGAGCCAAGTAGTATTGAGATGGTGGTATGTCTTTTTTTTTTTTTTTTTTGGAGAGGTTTTTTCACTATAGGGCGCGTGCGCTTGCCAGACAGAGCGAGACATAGAGACAGAAAGCGAGAAATCACCCCCCCCCACGGGGGATGGTCACGCTGCAATCCCTTCTCCTCCATTCTCCTCTCGGGATCTTGGGCACGCACGCACACGCGCCCGGCGTGAGTTTTAAACCACCGGGTCTGGGATGTGAACCGCGGTCGACTACGTGGGAGTCCAGCGACATAGCCATTACGCTAACTGCTGGTTCCTGAGATGGTGGTATGTCTTAACCCACATGGGAGAGATCCTGGTTTGTTTCCTGGGGCCCCCGTGGGCATACTGAGTTTGTACACCTGTCTGTGATCTGGGCCAGCTGGGACTGGGGGTGGGTCATAGCATGGGGACCCTGTGGGGGGGTGCCTACCTCGCTATCTCTCTGTCCCTCCCTCAGAAGAAATGGATAAACCTTAAAACCATACATATACACACACACACACACAATTTTATTTTTTATGTTTTTTAGTTTTGCTATAGGGCACATGTTCTCACTGGAGAGAGAGAGGGAGGGAGAGAGAAAGTGAACAAGCCTAGCATGTTCTTCAAGCTGGCAGGTCTAGGGTTTGAACCACACAGTTGGCCATGTGGAATCCAGCAATCTTTTTTTAAAAATATTTTAAAAATTATTTTATTTAACTTTATTTATTTACTTATTTTAATATTTGACCAGAGAGGTACAGAGAGAGAAAAAGACAGTGAGAGAGAAAGTGAGAAAGCAAGCCTCCAGGTCCAGGACTCGAACTGAGGTCAGCCATGTGGGAATCCAGTGGCCATAACCACCACACCACCTGCCAGCCCCAAGATCCAGCAACCTTAACCTCCATGCCACCAGCTGGTCCCACGTACAATTTTTTTCACCAAAATAAACTCAGGCTTTAATTCCATTCCCCCCACACACGCACAACTTATTTAACTCCCCTTGTATGGGTGCAGTGTGGCAGTAGCTAAGAGAGGAGTGGCCTTAGACAGTTAAGGAGACCTCTTGGGGGAGGAGACCCCAAGGGCATATTGGGAGAAGGACTGCACTGCCTCTGTCTGGCACATCGCAGGAGAAGGTGCAGAAATCCCTTACCACTGAGGCCCAGGGCTGGGGGATATCCTGTGATCAGCTGTGGTAACTGAGTCCCAGAGTGGGCGACTGTGTTAGAGGCGGACCTGGAACTAAATCCTAGGCCCAGCCCGCTTTGTATCTAACTCCCCTTCTCTTTGTACCACAGGATCCAGCGCCGCCTCCTTGTACCCTGTGCTCAACTTCCTGCTGTACGTGCCTGAACTCGCCCACTCCCCCCTGTACATTCAGGACAAGGATGGGGCTCCAGTGGCCACCAACGCCTTCCACAGTCCCCGGTGGGGTGGCATTATGGTAATAGTCACACTGTCATACCCCAGAGCCCAAGCTCTAGGGACAGATAGATGTTCCCTGAAATTGTTTTCTTTTTTTCTTTTTCTTTTTTTTTGTCTGAAAGGGGTGGCACCAAGGAGGTGAGGTGCTACGTGCTCTGCCCCAACCCCTCCAGCCCCTCTGTTTCTTATTTGTCAGTGTTTCCTATGCAAAATGTCAGCGACCCTTTTGTACCTACCACTTGCACTTACTTAGGCCTAACCTGTGTCCATCTTTTTTTTTTTTTTTTTTAAATAATTATTTATTTTATTTTATTTATTCATTCATTTTATTTTAATTTGACCAGAGAGAGAGAGAGGGGAAAATGGAGAAAGCAAGCCACCAGGTCTGGGACTCGAACCGTGGTTGGCCATGTGGGAGTGTCCAGCACCTTAACCACCACGCCACCTGCTGGTCCCATCCCTGTGTCCATCTTAGATCCTGGCCCTGTTCATGGAGTTTTGCAAAGCTGGGAACCTTGTCTTTCCTGGTAGACTGGGAATTTCTCATGGGTGGGAACTCTAACATGGGATATTTAAGAAATCTATTTTATAGAACTTTTGAGGAGGTAATTGAGGTAACTTATTTAGAGCTCCTCATTATAAGTCCTAAAAATATATTTATTAGCTATACCAGGGGTTGGGCACTCCTAAAGAGCAGAGGATGCGCGTTTGCTTTCTCTTGTGGCCTCCAGTGCCTAAGGCAGAGCTATGCAAGGACCTGGCGTGATGCTGTGGCAACCTCCTTCCCCCTTCCAGGTGTACAACGTTGACCCCAAAGCCTACAATGCCTCACAGCTACCCGTGAGAGTCGAGGTGGACATGGTGCAAGTGATGGAGGTGTTCCTGGCTCAGCTGCGGTGAGGTCCTAGGTGGTCTACTTGAGGGCGTGGCCAGATCTCTGTGGTCATAGAGGCGGGGCACAGAGCGGTAAGAAATCTTACCTGGCAGAGATTCCTCGGCTGTGCCTAAAGGGAACCCAGAAAGGTTTCTAAGGATCCTTTCATCCTTCTCCTAAGAACTCGTAGGTCCATGGGTGTGATTGGGGTGCTTAATTAATTCCTGTGCTAACTGACCAATTGAGACTGGCTGCCTGACGTCCTGTGTTGAGGAGTCGAAGGCTGTGTGTAGACTTAGCTGGAAAGATTATTCTTCTGATTGATTAGCAATGTCTGTCATGGGTCAGGTTTAGAGAAGAACAGCACATGTGTCTTGTCAAAAGCAGTCCTGGATCATATCAACTCAAAATCCCATGGCCCCATTTGTCCAAAGAAAGGGTAAAAGGAGGGAGGGGATTAAATTAAATTGGAGTTATCATTAGTATTTCATAATATCTATATATTTTTAAGATATTTTTTTCAGGACCAGCAGTTGGTGTAATGGCCCTGTCGCTGGACTCCCATGTAGTCGACTGTGGTTCACGTCCCAGACCCAGTGGCTTAAACTCACACTGGGCACGTGTGCGTGTGTGCCTAAGATCCTGAGAGGAGAATGGAGGAGAAGGGATTGCAGCGTGGCCATCCTCCCCGGGGGTTGACTTCTCTATCTGTCTTTTTTGCGAACGCATGCACCCTATAGCAAAAACCTCTCCAAAAAAAAAAAAGAAATGAGTAATATTTTCCAAGCCTCCAGGTCCGGGACTCGAACTGCAGCCAGCCATGTGGAAGTCCAGCAATGTAACCATTAGGTCATCTGCTGGTCCCAAGTTATCAGAAGTATGTCAGCCTTGGAACTTTTTTTCAAATAAGAGCTTGGAAGTCCAATATAGAAAAAGGTAAAAACGGGCTGCCTCTGTGGCTTGGTGGTTAAAGGAGCTAGATCCCACAGAGCCAACTCTGCAGTCTGAATCTTGACCCTAGCAGCTTGGAAAAGATCCTGGGTCATGTGTCTGTATGCCTAAAATCCCAGCAAAGTGGAGAACTGGGGGAGAAGGGCTTGCAGTGTGACCATGCCCCATAGTAGGGGTTGTCTTGTCCCCGTCTCCTGCCCATATCCTTTGGCAAAGTAAAAAAAAGAGAGAGAGAAAGGTTAAAATGGAAATACTGATTGAAGTGCATTTTGGTGCTCAGTATGCTTAGTTGCTGTTCACCTCCTAAGACCTGGAAACACTTCCCCACAAACCCCCATGTTCTGCATAAGGTTGAGAATCACTTGTTTAGGGCAGATATTCTAGGAATCTCAGCTAGTGCCTCCTACTTCCTTGTCCCAGCCACCTCGATCTGCCTTCGCTGTTCCTACAGGCTGCTCTTTGGGATTGCTCACCCCCAGGTGCCTCCGAAATGCCTGCTGTCAGGCCCCAGGAGTGATGGGCTAATGACCTGGGAGCTGGACCGGCTGCTCTGGGCTCGGTCAGTGGAGAACCTGGCGACGGCCACCACTACCCTCACCTCCCTGGCCCAGCTTCTAGGCAAGATCAGCAACATCGTCATCAAAGACGACGTCGCATCTGAGGTAAGTGGCAGGGCACGGTGCTGTGGCCCAGGATTGGAGTGACCCAGGAGGGCCAGGGTCTGTGTGGATTTACACGCCCCCTGGCTTTCTGTAGGCAGCAGTGCCAGCGGCCCAGGAGGAATCCCATTGAGAGCGGGAGGTTTCAAGCTGACCCTGAGAAAATAAACCAGAGCCCATTTAGACAGGCCTCCGTGTCCCTGGGTGAACTCCAGGCAAACTCCCTGGGAGATGGAAGACACAGTAAGGCCCAGCACCCTCCCACCAGTGCTTAGGACTTACTGGTAACCCCTCTCCTCTCCCCTGCCAGGTGTACAGGGCTGTAGCTGCAGTCCAGAAGGCAGCAGAGGAGTTGGCCTCTGGGCACCTGGCATCTGCCTTTGCCGCCAGCCAGGAAGCTGTGACATCCTCTGAGCGTGCCTTTTTTGACCCCTCGCTCCTCCACCTCCTCTATTTCCCTGACGACCAGAAATTTGCCATCTACATCCCACTCTTCCTGCCTATGGCCGTACCTATCCTCCTGTCCCTGGTCAAGATCTTCCTGGAGACCCGCAAATCCTGGAAAAAGCCTGAAAAGACAGACTGAGCAGGGCAGGACCTCAGAAGGAAGCCTTTCTTTCTGGGCAGGGTGGGAGGTGTTAGATTGATTGACAGGAACAGAAATGGGGCTTACCTGTCTCCAGTCTCCTCTGTTGTCTCTCCAGCAACCAAAGGACATGCAACATCCCAAGAGAGGTTTGTCTTTTTGTCCCCTCCCATCCCTCTAGCTTAGCTCTGGACTCCCAGGAGCCTCAAAAGGGATTCCTTATCTGGCTGAACTTGAAGGCCCCTGCTTTTATCTCCTGTGACAGGGGCAGCTTGTGTTCTTGCCTGTTTCTCAACATAGCACACTCTGCACTGAGCTGAGCATTAGGGAAAGCCATTGGTTGGATTCTAGTACCCTCCACCCTTTCTCCAAGTCCCCAGGGGGAGAGCCCAGGCCGTTCCCCACCTTCCTAGCTGGCTTTGCCTGTCAGGGACAGCCTGGCAGGAGTCCAGGAGGCAGCAGCCCGGGACCTGGTGTTGTGTGTGTGGCTGAGGTTCCCTTCTCCCATTCCTAGAGACACTGTGGTATAGTGGAGAAGATCTCAGACCTGGAATCAAACAGGCCTGAATTCAAATCCTTGCCCCTACACTTACTGTCTGGGGGACTTTGGGTAAGTCACTTCATCTCTCTGAACCTCAGTTTTTCATTTGTTTAAATGGCACTGGTGAAACCGCCTTTCCAAGGTGGTCATGGGGATTAAATGTGATCAGAATGTGAAAGTGTTTGGCATATATTAGGCTCTTAATAAAACTTGATTGAACATGAATTGGAATGATAAGAAGTACACGTGTAACTTTCATTCTTTCTTTACTCCTATGTAAGTCAGTTTCCTGGTATTTGACTTCCTGTGCTCACAGGTCCATCCTGTTGCCCGGTGGCCACATGGCCATCCTGCCTTTCTGTCCTGTAGGCCCCGGGGTGACTAGACACCTGGACTGTTGTCCCTAGGCTTGTCCCCCGTTGCCCAAGGCTGTTAGCATATGCATGTATTTTTTATTTTTAGCAAGGAGTTCTGAAGAGAATAGTTTGTACCAGTGAAAGTTCTCAGGTACTAACTCATTCATCAGTTGAAAAACTGAAAATGTATTGAGCACTGGCCCTAAACGGTGCTGTGCTAAGTGTGGATGTTAGAACAAAGTAGACGTGACCTCTGCTTTCACCGGACTGGTCTTTCCGAGGAAGAGTCAGTGAACAAATAAAAGTAATTTCACAGAATGCACTGGAAAGAAAAAATGGGCTGTGTAGACAGTGACGGGAGGAAAATGCTCCAGACTGGGTGAGCTGCAGGGCTTTGAACCCAGAGCCATTGGGCTGAGATGGAAGGGTGAGAAGAGGTCGTCATCAGAGCAGCATCCCACGCAAAGACTGACGCTGGAACTCGTTTGAGGGGCCGAGAGAAAAGCAGGAACCCAGCGAGGAAGAAGAGTGGTCGCCAGGACCCTTTATATTGATAGTACCCCCAAAAAATGAATGAAGCCCAGGGCGCTCTCCCGACCCTGGCACCGCGCACCCTCGGCTTTTGGGCGGGGGCCGGGCGGTGGGCGGGTCGGTGCCGGGCCCTCCCCG